TGGTGGGGGGGGGGGGGGGGGGGGGGGAGGCGTCTGGTATAAGCTATGCGTGACTTGACTGAGCTTATAGAAGAAGCGAGAATGCAGCATAAAGCATACTGACCTGGCCAGCTGGAAGTGTTTGTTCTGCTGTTTGTCTTATGCCAGTGGCATTAAACGGGTTAAATGCTATTGCAGCTTGATGAGTCAGGACCAATGTGTTTTGTCTTATTTTTACTTTCATATCCCTGAACTGTGTCCAATAAAGCCCCAGAATCCATCTATCTTTCCCCATATTGTGTTCCAGACATTACATTGAGCTTTAACTGTTTTGTGTTGTTTTTTTGTAAATCAGACATTTGGGTTTGTTATCATTGTAATGTTAGTTTGAAATGTTTCTGTGTTGCAGAAATCAAAACCGAAATTTTAGATGACTGTAAAAAGGAAAACGAATGGAAGGTAAGTTGGTTTCCCTTATATGAGTGAATGAGATGGGTTTCGGCCAGGACTTGAGGCTCCGGTCACAAAGCTTTTTCTCTTGTTGGATGTTATTTTCTTTATACAACATTTTATCATTTATGCAAAAATAAGGCTCTGAACAGTTAAATCTTTATTTCCTATTGAAAAATAGGGATTCTGTATCTAAGCTATATTTACAGTATGTTTGGGAATGTAATATTTTTTTCAAACAATTATCATGAGATAAAAAAGAATAGCATAAAAAGAGTTCATATGTCTATAAATTGACCTTTTGTTCCACAAAATTGTTGTCAAATAAAGGCGTGCAGCTAATTATAAAATACATTCTGTTTAGCTTAGATTTTCTACCTCAGAAGAGAAATAAATAAACAGCATATACAGCAAACTCCCCATTATTTGGCAACCTGCACTCTCAAGCATCCAGGACAAAAAATTGAGGACACAATATGTCCTCCCTTTTTTTTTCTTTTTAGTGCCGCTTGCTCGATAGACATGTGCATACTAAAGAAATGTGTAGCAAATACATGTTTTTAGTTGCTAATTAAATTCTCTGTTGACATCTTGCTGGCAGCTAGATTCTGCATCCGGCAGCTGAATGTAAACAACAGGGAGCAATAGCCAGCCTGCTGTTGGGTATTGCAATTTGAAATAGCCAATAGCAGGCTGGCTACTATTGCACCCATCCACTACCTGCTGTCAGGGGGACCAGAGAGGTTTATTTATTTATTTTTTGTGGGGGGGTTACTATTAACTCTCAAAGCAACCAGAAACTACAGTTATCTGGCATCTACCAAAACCCCCGTGGGTGCTGGATAACTGGGAGTTTACTGTATTGTGTAGTGTAATGTATGATAGATGTAATTGATATTAGGGATGTACCAATATCGAAAAAACGATAGTGGTGCTTCCGCTGGCATGGAGCAGACTTCCCGGGCATTCTGATTGCCCAAGAAGCTGGCTCCATGTTGTCCGGCTAGCTTGATTGGCTGGGTTTCCCGGCCAAGCACAATCCGCATCGAACTGGCTTTCTGGCCAATCAGGAAGCCCGGCGGTGAGTATTGACCCGCCTCCCACCTTCCTGATTGGCCGGATCGATGCTGTTTGGCCAGCTAAATGCTGATTGGCTGGGAAGCCGGTTCTCTGGCCAATCAGGAAGCCGGGAGGTGGGTTATTACTCGCCGCCCAGCTTCCTGTTTGCACGGGAAGCTGGCTCCATGTACCCCTACGGCACTGCCAGTCAGAGGAAATGTTCCTCTGTCCGGAAGTTCCGGTATCTGAGCATTTGGATGAGTACTCGCCCAAATACTCGGTATCGGCACCGATAATAGTATCGGTGCATCTCTAAAATATATATATATATATATATCTTTTGTAAACCCTTAATACACACCTTTTTGTTCAGCAACGCAAGTCATAAAAATGCTTTGAAAAATGTATCCATATGACAAATAATACACACAGGATGGAGAAAATAAGTGACAAAAAACGAAGCCTGCTATAAAGGGGAGACATATGAGCCATATTACTGTGGTTGGTAATTTGCTGTTTGTGTCACCAATAATAGAGATGTGTTCTGGTTTTTATCTTCTAGACTTGGAGAGATCATGGTCAATATTTCATACCTCTAAAACAATTCCAAAAGGCTTTTGTTTAACCCACGCACTTAAGAGTAATATCAGTCGGCTATAAATTACTGCACAATGTTTTACTGATTATAACAAATCTTTTATCTGGTTTATTATACATTGCTGATTGAAGTGCCGTACCCAATGAGGCTGATAACTAGTCCTTCACAACCACTTACTGACACGTAGACAAATTGTGTGTTGTGTTTCCTTTTCAGATTCTAGTCTTAGATGAGTTTACCACCAAGCTGCTAACATCATGTTGCAAAATGACGGATTTGCTGCAAGAAGGCATCACAGGTAAAATCAGCAGTGCATCAAGAAGTTTAACCAGCTGTAAATGTACAGTAGATATATTTGAAGAAAATGCATACAACAGTTGTATCATTGCTTTTCTTTTTTGTCATGTAGTATGCTTAGTATAGGACATCATCCACGATTAAAGGCCGTGACACACTGCACGCGAAGCAGCGTGGAGCGGTGGCGCGCTGCCTTTGCGAGTAGTGTGTCATGTCATTTCCTTCTCGGCAGCTCAGCTCGCGTGCCGTGATAAAAAATGTCATCTTCAGCCAATCGGCTCGCATGTATAAACCAGCGCGTCGGCATCCTGCAGCTGGCTGGTTGTTACGGACGAGCCGATTGGCTGAAGGTGCAGTCAATCATCTGGCTGCACTCGGCTCACATACTGCACGCAAAGCTCCGTGCTGGATAGCTTTGCTTCGCTCTGCACGGCTTTGCGTGCAGTGTTTCATGGCCTTAAGAATGTGCAAAGGCTTGGTGCAAACAAAGTACACCCAAGCCCGTGCAAAGTTGTCAGGGACACCCCCCCAGCACAATCAGCTTGGGCATTCATTCTCCATTCCTTTATGTCATGTAACTGCGGGAGAGAATGCCCAGGCCGCTGCTGATTGGGCCAGGAGGGGGTGAGTCACTGATGGCTTTGCACGAGCTTGACCGAAGTCAGTTGGCAAAAACTAACACACATCCCTGTTCAGGATGAATTTCTGTTTTTTTCATCCCTTTTATGATTCTAGTGACCATTGTGTCAGAGACAGAAATTGAGAAGAAATCCACAACTTTACTGTTTTTACTGTTGTCACCAGAGCTAGTGGAAAGGGTAAATCATCCAATGGGGACAAATGTTACGGTGACAACTGTCTAATATGGGAATTCCCCTTACTCTGAGGATATTTTCCTTTTGCATCTCAGACTGGAAGCAAGGGGAAATCTTCCAGGCAAAAAATAACCAAATACGGGCTTCCTTACTCTATTTAAAATTTGTATGTAAACAGGTTTGTTTGCTGACAAATATCATAGATAAACCATAACCTGTTCATATACATTTCTCTTCCTAGTTGTGGAGGACATCTATAAAAAAAGGCAACCAGTTCCAGATTTAAAGGCCATTTATTTTATTTCACCAACTGAGAAGGTTTGTATTTGCCTTTTTTCTTTGTTTTTTATTTTTCACTTGCAGGGATTTTAAGCTGAAACATCAAGTAATGTTTTAACTTTCTCTTGCTATTATCTGAAATATAATCTATATTTATTTATTGTGGGGCATTGGCTGGCAGCATTGTGTATAAAAAGGTGCAAGAGCTGCCTTTTTGTTTTGGGGAACCTATCAAGGGGCACGACCTGAGCTTAGTTAATTGCTGGGCCGTGCAGATGTTTTATCTGTTTTATGCTATGGACTTGCTGTGCAAACCATTCCTGCATCGAAATTGTGTTTTGTTGCTGCCGTGCTAAATAAAAGTGCAGGACAAACCTGTCAGGACTGTCCTGGGTGTCCCTGTCTCGTGCATGGTTTACCACTGCCATTACCAGTCGAGCATGCTTTTCCCTGATGAAGGGGTTCCTCTGTGACCCCGAAACGTTCGTTGCTGTTTACTATGCTGCACGTCAATAACTAGACGTTTTCTCATGAATTTGGAGTGCCGGTGTCTTTATCTTTACTTATGATTATAACGGATGCCACCCGTTGACTACCGCAGCACCCGATTTTCAAAGGGATTTGGAGGTCAGGGGTGCGATGGGACCATGGACTTTCTGTTCCATTGACCTCCTGCTTTCCAGCTCCCTTGTCCACTCCTCCCATACTCGCCTTCAGGACTTCTCTAGAGTCTCTCCCATCCTCTGGAACTCCTTACCCCAGCCTGTCTGTCTATCTCCCACCTTGTCTGCCTTTAGGCGTTCCCTAAAGACTCATCTCTTCAGGGAAGCCTATCCCACCTCAACCTAAGCACTGAACCTTCACATTCTCACATAATTCATTCCCACAGCTACCTCATGTATCATTTCCCCCTCCTCTTTTAGATTGTAAGCCCTCAGGGGCCTCCTCACCATCTTGTCTTGAATTGTATTGTAACTGTAATGTCTTCCTTATATTGTAAAGCGCTGCGCAAACTGTTGGCGCTATATAAATACTATGTAATAATAATAATATATCTATCAAACACACATATACAACCCCAATTCCAAAAAAAGTTGTAAAATCTGCATAAAAATGCATTGATCTGCATATTTCATAAACCCATATTGTATTCACAATAGAAAATATATCAAATGTTTAAACTGAGAAAATGTACTGAGAAAAAAAAAATGTCATTTTGAAATTGGCAACATTTTAAAAATAAGTTGGGACAGGGCAACAAAAAGCTGGCAAACTAAGTAGTTGCCAAATGTCCTTCCAGTTCTTCCTTGTTACAACCAATTAGGTTATTTGGCAATACGTCAGTAACATAATTGGGTAATAAAAAGAGCATCTAAAGGTTTCCATAAACCTATCTATTATCATTCGGAATTCGTCCACGAATGGTCTTTCGAAAGATAATCGATCAGTTGATGGGAACCCAGCGATTTTTTTTTTTTTTTCTTTCCTACTGTACTCCCTTTTCGAATTTCCTCGATCAGACAGGCTGGAAAACGTATTTCGAATCGTATGAAAATAGATGGATTAGTGGTGTTATTCATATGAAAAAATCGCAACATGAACACTGCACATACGAAGATCCATTCTGTTGATCAACAAAATTCGGTGAGTTAGTTTTGCTAACAAACAATTATCATATATTGGTCTGTGCTTGATGGGCTATTTTAAGCTAGAATCGAACGAGGGTTCATGACGGCAATGAAAATTCCCAAACAAAAATGGCAAGGCGTATGGCAAGCTTTAGAGCGTCAGTGACTCAGAAGTAGAGATGGGCAGAGGATCACCCGTAGTAGAATAGTCCGGATGCTTAACTTGCCTGACTGCAGTCCAGACATTTCACCAAGTGAAAATATTTGGCACATCTTGAAAGAAAAATACAACAAAGAAGACCCAGGACTGTTGAGCAGCTAGAATCCTATATCAGGCAAGAATGGGACAACAATACTCTCCCAAAACTCCAGCAACTGGTCTCCCCATTTCTCAGACATTTTACAGAGTGGTGTTAAAAGAAGAGGAGATGCTACACTGTGGTAAACTTGGCCCTGTCCCAACTTTTTTGCGAAGTGTTGCTGCCAAAAATTTCAAAATTACCTTATTTTTTTTCTTCTTAAAATGGTAACTTTTCTCCGTTTTTAAACATTGGATATGTTTTCTATTGCGAATAAAATGTGTTTTGAGATTTGGAAATCCTTGCATTGTTTTTATGTAGATTTTACACAGCGTCCCAACTTTTATGGAAGTGTGTGTGTGTGTGTATGGATAGCTAGAGATGTGGGACGTGAATTGTCCAAAAGATAGACAAATATGCTTACATGGTCTATGACTAAATAATTTTTCCTTTTTTAATCTCGTTGCAGTCTATAGAAATTCTGGTGAATGACTGTAAGGCCAAACAGTGCAAGTACAAAACTTTGTATGTTTACTTCAGCGATAGTGAGTATTGGCTAGGTGCTGTGCAGTTCGGAAATGTTTCTTTGTTTTCTACTGCAGTTTACAGGCCTACTTTTCTATAGCCACCAATGTCTCCCTCTAATTCACCTTTAGCCAGCATAACTGGCAACCAAGCATGGCAGAAGGGGGAATTCCAGTCCTCGGTTCCCACGGTCTACTCCATTACTAGTTGAATCCCTCACTGCTGCCTTTGGAGAGCAAGATTATATCGTGCTGTTCAGGTAGGAGTCTACTTCTATGAATAAGGAGGGGAAGAAGTCTGGCTGTGCCCATCTAATGTTGTCACCTCTTTACAAATTGCTCAGAGTAGGCGGAGGTTCATTACTTCCATGAATCTAGTATCCCTGGGCCAAGCACAAATGCTACCTTGTACAACTGCTCTGCTCTAAAGGAGAATGATGGGGAGAGTGAAACACACTCTTCCCCATAATTAGAGCCGACGCGTGACACTGCAACTGTCACGTGTTGGCTCTATTGATCAGTAACTGAGCGATCACATACCCTGATCGCTCAGTTACCAATCTTCTCTCTGCGTGGTGTCTATCAGTCACTGCTCCCCTCAGGGATTCCCCTTTTGCCATTGCTCCGTCACTGACCTGGAGCTGGCTCTGCCTCTAGAGAACCAGCTGTCAATCAGGCAGCGGGGTGGATCTGGACAATATTGTTGGGACCTGTCCCGGCTGTAGCGCAGCTCTGCGCTGTCAGCATATAGGGGTGCTGGGTCACAGGAGGACATTTAGTATTTGTCCTCCTGTGACCCTGAAGAGAACTAAAGCCAAAAAAAGGTTGGGCCATAGTTCTCTTTTCATCTGACCATACACTGGTTGAGTCCTGCTAACTCAGGAAAATTCGAGCAGTGTCTAGTCCTGTCGGCACCCCGCAATTTCCCAGTTGAATTGTGCCGAAGTAGCCAGTCCGAAAATTCTCGCCAAAACAGGGACTGCAGACATTGAGCTGGGGATGGGGGGAATCAACTGTTTTTTTTCTCATTCAACCCGTGTGTATGGCCGCCTTAGTATGCCTGACATAAAGGTCTGTTATGCCCGCTGGAGAAGGATCCTTGACATTAGGAGCAAGCTTAAAGGAAACCTTTACTAAGGACTATGTCTCCCCTTGATTTCCTTCTTCTAAAGTTGCTAGTTGCCTGGTCATATCTCACTTAAATGCTTTGATACTCTGGGGCAAGTGAAGTCAAAACTGCTGAAGTAAAAACTTCTTCCAAGTCAGAGTGCAAATGTGTAACCGCTGGATCATTATTTGTCAGAAATGTCAATTTATTTGTAAATATTTAAAAAAGCAAAACTGTATTTTTCCACATGCTCACCTCAATCCACCCACCCAATAACTAACAGAAGACTGAAACGTTTCTTCTTTTCTGTTCTTGCTGGTGTAATTTGCTACTATGACAACTCCATAATCTGTGTGATTTTTATGTTAATCTGTTCAAATGATAATGCTAGACCTCTGGCATTGTTACTTATATACATTTTGTCTTTTCAGCATGCCCTGACAGCCTCTTTGCCCGGCTAAAATCTTGTGCCCCCAAATCAATAAAGAAGTGCAAGGAAGTCAATATTTCTTTTTTCCCCAGAGAGTCTCAGGTAATTGTCTTGTGACTTCAATTTGATTTATTCTGCAGATGACTGAGGACTTGGAGAAGTTTGCGGCCATCTTGTTTCATTGAAGACGCTATGGAGGTCCTGTGTGCGGCGGTTTCGAGTCCTTGAAGATGGTGGATGCGGCACAGGTACTTGTTTTTTGTATCGGAGTATTTGCACGAGTACGAGTACTCATGCAAATACTCGGTATCGCCGCCAATACTGATGCTTGTATCGGAGCATCCCTAATTCTTATTCACAATTCAACGTGCAAAAAGCAGTGAATGAGCAGTTCTGAGGCTACAGATAATGGTTACATGTCATTGCATATCACATACCTTAAAATGTATCTAAACCCAAAAACAAAAATGTAATCTATTTATGGCTGCAACTAATAATTATTTTCAGAATTGATTAGTTGGTCGATTTTTTTTTTTTATTTTTTTTCTGATTATTTGGACACAAAAATTGAAATAAATACCATCCTTAATTTAAAATAAAATACACAATTGCAGTGTTACAAAGTTCACTTCAGAATAAAACTGCATGCATAATTTTTTTGCAATCACACTGCACTGGAACGTGGAGCATTGCGGTACCGTGCGGGCAATTAGTGTGGATGGGTTTGGGGTGCTATTACAATAAATGACTTTTTTCCCCACTTAATATTTTTTTGTTTATTTTTTAAATAATTGTAGCACATAACACTTGAAAAGCATTAAACCAGGAAATGACAGCTGCCCGTAGCAAGATTCCGCAGATGGTAAAAGAATGTAAATACAGCAGGTAGCAGGTGGGTGCAATAGCCAGCCTGCTATTGGCCATTTCCAATTGCAATAGCCAATAGCAGGCTGGCTATTGCACCCAACCACTGCTTGCTGTGCCTTCCTCCCAGCGTGGAGGAGAGAGCTAGGGGATCCAACCAACTAATTGATAATAGTTGACAACTATTCTCATTATCGATTAATTGGTTGCAGTCCTAAATATATTGCCGCTTTTGAGCCCATAGATGTAGTGGTTGTCCTTTTTTCAGGCTTTTTTATTTTTACCTGGTAATCTTGCAAGTAACACAGTTCCTATCTTTAGTTGGCTATGCTTACATCAGTGTATCTATGCCATGGTTGTCATCCAGGCTGGACATCTAACATGTCTGCCTTTTGTTCATCTGTATCATATTGGGCATGAGAAGATAAGATTGTTTGTTTCCATTTCAACTCGCAGGAAGTAGCAAGGACACTGCATTAACCCTTTTACTGTCAAGCCTCCAGAACGCTTTTAAACTCAGCTGGCCACACCATTTTTGCAATTGTTCCCATTGTTTTGAATTGCTACTGCTGCGTTGCAAGCATTGTAAAAGACACTCCCCCAACCATTTATTTTCTAAGAGCACAGGTCCGGTAGAATAAAAAGATGGTGCTACAAATTTTGTAGGTCTTGCGATAATTGTGCAAATGTATATCAAATCAATATTAAACTGATAAAAATACAATTCAATTGATAGAAATCACACTAAAATCAGTATCCGTGCACAAACAAAAAAACCTTTCTGACTAAATCTAAAAGATGAAACTGTATTGAGTTAATAAATAACAAATATTTGTAAATTTGAAATTGCGCCTTTTTGCGAAACGGTAAAAAAATTAAGCAATGCAAAACTGTAAATAAGCGACTTATGTTAAAAATCGTTTGTGCACTGTGCTGGTGTGTATATACACACACACACACACCGTGTTTCCCCAAAAATAAGACGCTGTCTTATTTTTTATTTTATTTTTGGCTCAAAAAAACACACTAGGTCTTATTTTCGGGGTAGGTCTTCTTTTTTTTTTTTTTTTTTTTTTTTTTTTTATGTACAACAATCCACATATATTCATGTACAAAAATATGGTTATCAGGGGTGCCGTACCTTTCCAAGAGCTATTTGCTATCCATTCTCTGGCCAGAATGAGCGAAGCGCACTTTCACTATGGATTTCCTCACAGGCGGAGTGCATTTGGTATCTGTGACAGGAGCCGGCGCTATAGAGAAAGCATCGGCTTATGCGGCTCTGCTCCCTCCGGTGCCGCCTCACTTCCTCTAGCGCTGGCTTTGTTGGCAACGCTGATTCTCTCCTGCCTCTCCCTTCAAGTTCCCCCTTATGCCACCATAGGCCCTGGGAATGGTCACAACTAGGTCTTATTTTTGGGGTAGGTCTTATATTTTAGCAATTCCCAATCATTTAACTGTTGGGGGGGCTTTGGGGAAATATTAGGGGTCGAAACAGACCCCTGACATTTCCTTTTTACAATAGAAAAAGACATTGAGTACACAGAGTCCTCCAATCTCTTTCTGTAGTGAGTGCTTCTCCCCATTGAGAAATTCATGAATGAACAGGAATTAATATAAAGCACTTCCTGTTCATTCATAACTGGGAACAAATAGTACTATCCGGATTTTTGGTTAATAGCAGTCATCAGCGGCTTCTCAGCGGCTTCTCAGTTGCTGATGACCTCTATTTTTTTAAAGTTCATTTATATAAGTTCATACATGCTAATGCGAACATGAGCTTATAGCAGAAAGGAGAAAGCCACCGATGTATGGCATACTGAGCTGGCCAGCTGGAAACAGTTCTGTTCCGCCGTGAGCCTTACGTCGGTGGCAGGGAAAGGGTTAAAGAGAAACAGATTTTTTTTTTTTTTGTACTTGCTGAAAAATTTTCTTAGCTTGTAGAAAGAAAATAAATGCAACCACCACATCACCAAACCAGTAATGTGCAACATATAACATTTTTGTTCTTGAGTTTCGTTTTCCTTTTAAGAGCTCATTCGAACCACAGCACTGTGGTGTGCTGTCATTTTTTCACCCAGGTTAAAAGCATGAGCATGAGCTCGATTTTGTTGCCCGTTGCGGTTTGTGATGTGTTTTGATGCTGTTCTGCAAAGAAATGCAACATGCTCTATTTTTTTTCCATTGCACTCCCAACACATGGGGATTGGTGGAAACTAGGGATGTACCGATACTAGTACTAGCCGATACCCGGCATTTTCACAAATACTTGTGGAAATGCCCAGATACTAAAGGCCGATACCGGCCCATAAAATTTTGAAACTAGTTTGGCTGCCTGAGGTACCGTGCTTGCTTGGGACCTCGCCATAGCTGTCTTTGACAGTGCCAGTCTGATCCTGCTTCTCCTGCACCTCCTTTTTGGCGCCTGCAGACAGGCACAGCAAACTGTACAGCCCTGGAGCCTGGCACGAGCCCAGCACCCACCTGCAGAGACCGGCAGCTACCCGCACAGCCTGGCACCCACCATCCAGAGAGCCCAACACCCACACGCAGCCCTGGTGGGACCTCATGCTGCCTTTTATCTCGGCATTCCATGCCATTCTCCATTGTTGGATAATCATGGATTGCTGGAATTAGTAGCCCTCTATAGCCGATTGCCATTCTCCATTGCTGAATAATCATGGATTGCGTTACAGTTCTTCATAATTATAAAGAAATTGCCCTAAAATCATTAGTCTGTATTGTTTTAGAAAAAAAGTTACATGTCCCTTTAAGAAAAAGTATTGGTAATTGGTACCTGAAGGAAAGTCCTAAATTGTACTTGGTCTTGAAAAAATGGTATTGGGACATCCTAGTAGAAACTGGTACCTGTAAAAACAAGCCTGTTTGTTTTTTCCTTGTATTAGGACTGCATTGAAGAATCAGAGGTTGTGTGTGCCTTAAGGTTGTGGCGTAACCCTGAAGGTTATGTCCACTTTTCATGATTATAGTCGGGACTAAAACATACAATTTTTAAAATAATATTTTTTATTTAATTTTTTTCTCCATTTATCAGATAATTATGAATAATTGCTTATGGGTATTATGTATTCTTCTGTCCATCCAGCAGGTTATGCTCTAGGCTATATTTCATTTAGTATCCAGTATTTCCTTTGCAGTCTTCTGCTCATTTATGCTTACTTACGTGTTGTATGCACCATTGGAGGCTATGCAATCACCCATGGGTACATATGTTTCTAAGTAGCAAAATCTGTTTTTTTTTCCAAGGTGTTCCTGCTAGATCTCCCTGATGCGTTTCACTTGTTGTACAGTCCAGATAAATCTGTGAATAAAGAATCTGCGATGCACACCATTGCTCAACAACTAGTGACACTGTGTGCTACTCTGGATGAGAACCCCGGGGTTCGCTATAAGAGGTAATAACCTATAAATGCACCATTTTGTAATATGATCCATGATTGAACCCGTGTAATGTGATTTTTCTGGTCAACATTTTATATCTGAAGAGATCCAATGGATAATGCTGAAGATCTGGCTAACTTGGTGGAAGAGAAACTTGTTCAGTATTACAAAATTGATGAAAAGGACCAGTTTAAGGTAATGTGGATGAACAATGCTCTTTATTATACATTATAATGAGTAGTGTGGGGGTATCGCTCAAATGGGGGATCACCTTCCCTGGGAAAAAGGCTGTCCAGACAGCAAAGTCCTTTTGTTTATCTGACTTGCAGTCAGTGTCTTTATTTAAAAGGTTGCAATAAAACGGAAAACAAATCCTTGCCTTTCAGGCTCTGACTAAACAGGCAGGTTTCCTATCTACCAGGGGGTGAGCTTACCTCAGCCACCTCACAAAACAAAAGGACTTTCAGCAACCTACTCGCATCCATCCGACTTGTAGGTCTCTCAGAATGCTCTCTGAGTCCCAGGCCAGTGCAACATCCTGCTTCAGCCTTCCCCTTTATCTCACCTGGATAAGCAATCGTTAAGCAATTAACAATCCAGCTGACAGACACAAAACCCGAGCTGGATTATTCAGACCCAAAGTCAACCCGAAAACCTGGTCTGGGTTCCACTATTCCTGTACATGGGATAGAAAGCGAGGGGAAATATACCGCCCCTCAATGACTTCTCCTTTCCTTATGTCACAGTAGTTCTACTTTAAAACTAAAGGTGCATTCTAGTTGAAAGTGGAAATATAGCTCTCAAATGCATAAGAAAGAAACCTCTAACCTGTTTATGGTTTTCATTATTTATTTAGTTTGTAATACAGGTGTTGCTGCGTTGACTCCTGCTTCTCAAATCGTTTTTCTTTTTTGCTTATCTGGTATATTGGGTGGTTCCAAGGCTGCTAGAAGGTCAGGAGGTCTGGACATCAGTGTGATGACATCACCTCCTGGTACCCTCCTCGGCTCCTGTCACTTTCCCTCTTCCTTGCCCTTGGGTCCTGCATTGCGCATAGATTTTTTTTTTTTTTTTACTTGTCCCCGCATACCCCACCCCATCCCACATAATTCAGCTCTCTTCAAGATCCTGTCCTCCGATGTTATTTTGGTGACTGGTAGTTGCTTCATCAGTGATGCCAGTGGCCTGCTCACCAACCACCCTGTAACGCCAGTGGGAAGAATCCGGGCTGTATTTGCTATCCATCTATCTAAAGATAAATGATGTATGTGCTTTCATTTGTCACACATAGGCATTGGTTTTGGATAGCAGAAAGAATAGAATGTTAGTTACTCAAAATTGGTTAATAATACTGTTATTGATACCTAGTTATTATCTGCCACTCTGATCTTATTTCTTTTCCATAGTTTTCAGGACTGAAAATTACATGCAACAGTTCATTAAAGTGACACTTAACTCTGGAGTTAAATCTTAAAAATGTATTCAAGTACCTTAACTATTAACACACAAGTAGCCACCACCCAAGCTCACTCCTGTGATGGACTACAATCTCAATACAAATTGGGTAACTGAACATGAGATTGTAGTCCATCACAGGAGCGAGTCTGTAGAGGTGGCTACTTTAAACGCACACAGGGACCATGGGGAACAAAAGTAGCCACCCTCCAGAAGGAAGGACAGCGTCAGCACCAATTCAGAGATGATTTGAGGACCTAAAGCCGAGCCATGCAGAAATAAGATACATTTTTGCTAATGGTTAAGTGACTTGAATGCATTTTTAAGATTTAACTCCTGAGTTTAGGCACACTTGAAGTTTAGCACAGAAAATCTCCTTTGATCATAATGAATTAAAATAATGTACACAGAAAATATTTAATAGAACTCGGTACAACACAACTGAGAAAATAGTTTCTACTTCTCCTGGGGAATTAATGTTTCTCATTTATATAGTACTAGTGTTTTCACAGCATTAGTTTGGGGAAATTACAAAATCAGCACACAAAAGTAATATACGTAAACAAAGTTACATAACAGATAAGTGTCTTGCCCTGCCGATGAAAGCTGACTATGTGGAAGCAAAACCTGAAAATAGTGCATAGAAACCTGCATCTGATAACATTCACAGATCAATCTGTTGTGTTCCATAGGCCAACTAGCACCCAGCAAGTGACTAGTTTTCTAAATTACCATTTATTCTCCTAGAGAATACTTGTTGGAT